TGTGATGGGGCTTGTTATTGGCAGATGTGTATGTCGATCGTGTCATTACTGCACACAGAAAAATATTGACACCGTTAGCGGTGTAATTGCACAGTACATATCTGAGCATTATGGAAAGTTAATTTAGTCCCTCCCCGCTTAAATTACTCGCGCTTCCAATGAACACCAGGAAGAAGGTAATAGAACACTGTTAGGAGGGTTGGGTGTTTTACTACATGTAGCAAAACACCAACCCTCCTAACAGTGTTCTATTACCTTCTTCTGGTGTTCATTTGGAAGCGCGAGGTAATTTAAGCGGGGAAGGGACTAAATTAACTTTCCTCAAGTGCTCAGATATGTACTGTGCAATTACACCGCTAACGGTGTTAATATTTTCTGTGTGTGGTCAAAAGATGTCCTTTCTTTGATGTCGTATTACTCAGCAGCGTACAATTCTTTGAAAGTGATATAGTTGTTCATTTTATCTGTCATGGCTTCATGCTTAGTGTAGTATATAACAACGCATACTAATCACCGACTCAGGCAATACTTAGGATGTCCTTTTATCATCTACATTTTCAATACATGATGACCGCGGTGTTTTATTACTATTCATCTCTAGTAAATTGAGTCAGATCGTTAAGCGTTTCAAATTAGCTGGATGATCAATCTTCCGACGTTTTTTTTCAGGTATCAGCCATAGCGTACATTCGCTACACCACCTGCGACCTGACAGGATCTGAAGTTCTGCATCAGAACGACATTCAGGACCTCCAGCAGCGTTTTAACGAGGTGAGCGCTGCGGCAGCAACTTAACCCTAGAACGCCTAGGGGGGGCTTGTATCAACCCCCCCCCCCCGAGGTTTTTCTTAGCTACACGCCGAACCGTTTCAGATAGCCTGCTCAAATTTTCAGTACCCTTTGGGGCATCCTTTGCGCAACTTTTGGTAATTTTTTTTGTCAAGGTCATGTCAGGTCACGGAGTTATGACGTCATAAAGGGAACAACCTCCGGCCAGATTTACGCTAAATTGGAGATTGCTTCACATTGGTATATAAATGCCGACTGACCTGACGCACTGATGGATTGTTTTATAGAATCACAACTGGCTGATTTGACATTGGCACAATGTCCGTTGACATTTTGAAGGTCACTAAAGGTCAAGGTAAGGTCATTGACCTCGGTTGACCTGTAATGACTTCTTGCACTTGTATGCCATTTCGGGGTATTTTGATGCCCTGAATTCGAATTTGCTATCCATTTCAGGCATCGTCGGTTGTTTCTTGTAGTTCATTTTGGGTCAGGGTCAGGTCAGTGACGTCACACGCCTGACGTGACCCAATGGACAAATGACCTTGCAGACTTCCGATGCTCCCAACGCATCATTTTTAAAGTTATGACATCGAATACACACCAAACGATAGAGAATTGATCAAGGATCACGTTAGTGAAGGTTTCAAGTCGATATCTCTTACCGTTTTGCCGCAATCGGCGCGGAAATCTGGAAAAGTTAGATTTTTCCGAAAATTTGACCTTTGACCGGTCATAAGTAGGTCAAATGTTGACCTAGGACCAAAAAATATACCACCAATCGCGAGATCTCGTTGAGAGCAATCCGTTGGTTTTTTCCGCTAAGCTCTACGACCTTCCGTTTCGAAACGCCAGGGGGGGGTCGTAACCCCCCCCCCCTGGTCGTTCGTGTTATGAGAAATGGCCTGGTCGTGCGAGGGTTAACCAGAGACGGCATTGTTATATTGTCCCGGACAGCTTTGTGGGAGTACATACATATGACGTAGTGGCACAATGCATTCTGATCTGGCCATTATAGAGTTCAGTGATTCTGGCACACACAATAACCCAGCCGCGTTATATTACTGGCCGCGTCAGTTCCGCATTGCAGCTTTGTAGTGCGGCACAGTCTATGTGACAGGCGGCTGGAATGGCCAATCGCGCGGGCGGCCGGATTAGATGTAATGGTTGACATAAGAGCAGTGGGGGCGCTGTGATAAACAAGTTTATAGTGCAAATTGTGGCAACGCTGGAAGAGCTCGAAATAATAGGCATAGTTTTCCACCTTTGCAGTATTCACATAATGCTGCTGCTTGCAAATTATATGTCATGATTTATGAGATGAATAATTATTCGTAGACGGATTTTGAGTACCTACACATCCCTCATAGTCCTTGCAGCTACAATTGTGCACCTGGCACTATTGTCTTCACTGCTAGCTGTATGCTTTTAACATTGCGTTTACTGCATGTTGCATAGTGATGGTAGGTTCCATCGGACATGTGAACCACTCTTGCATGACCTGGAAGGATTGCAAGAGAGGGGAACGAGAAAGAGAAAGGAAGAAGGTAGCCATCTGATCTGAAAACAGAAGAAATCGAATGGGGTTCCGATATAAAAATATGTAATTTTTAACACAAACTCCGAACTCGGAAACACATATTAGACCGAGACATTGATGCGCGAGCTCTGTCTAGTTCAAACCTATCGAGCTGTGTCTACACGGCAGTTCTAAGAGCAGATGCTTCTTGGTAGTTTTGTCCGTCCAATGGCTGTACCAGATAACCGGATGTCTGCCGCCACAATGTAAGCGAGCATGGCACTATCTGAATTATCCATAGCTGAGAGAGCTCCTCGGTGTCCGAGCCCTGCCATATCTAGCTCGATCTCTCGGAGGAGAGCTGTGACCGTTTCAGTGTGGGCGGCACAGTTCTCTGTCCAGTGTCCAGCCGGTGACCTCCTCTGGGGAACGGCCGCCGGCGCCTCTCCACTCGTCTGTCCCACGTCCGTCGTCAGTGTCCGCCGGTCGACTCTTTCCAGTCCCCGGTGACATTCTGTTCAGCCCTGGGGAGACCAGCCACAGTTAAGTGCCGTCAGGACGGCAATCTGGGAGCCAGAAGCGCGTGTGGGGTGGGTGTCGCCCCCCCCCCCCTTAGGTGGATTATTTCAGACGTGTCGGGCGGCTGAATACTGCAGCTGGCCATCGAACATGCTCAGCCCCGGGAAGACGACGAATTTATAGGCCGTCTGATGGCGACTTCAAGTTTAATGTCATGAATTGGGAACGAAGTCAGCTAGGGCAGGCTAGAGACTCGCATGAATCTTGAAAAGAATTATAAGGAAGAAACTGAAAATCCTGGAACTCGATCGTGTTATGCAAACCATTGCTCAGTTTCCCCTTATCATTGTTTTCACTTCCGAGAACCATAATTTATATGTCATCATATGATATTACGTATTCCTTATACCGCATAATGGGTCCCATTTTTCGCTATTTACGAACATGGAAAGATTTATCATGCATCAGCATAATAGAGTCCCAAGTGATTACTGTAAGTACTGTCTCGCAACGTTCTCCTGATAGATCGATACCTAATTCCATTCGTCCCGTGTGCTACCTACACAAAAAGATACATAAAACTCACTTTTTACAGAAAACTACGTCGGGCAACAGGCTCCCACCCATTTCCTCCCCCTCTGGCTCTCTCTCTCTCTCTCTCTCTCTCTCTCTCTCTCTCTCTCTCTCTCTCTCTCTCTCTCCTCTCCCTCTCTCTCTCTCTCTCTCTCTCTGTCTCTCTCTCTCTCTCCCTCTCTCTCTCTCTCCCTCTCTCTCCCTCTCTCTCTCTCTCTCTCTGTCTCTCTCTCTCCCTCTCTCTCTCTCTCTCTCCCTCTCTCTCCCTCTCTCTCTCTCTCTCTCTCTCTCTCTCTCTCTCTCTCTCTCTCTCTCTCTCCCCTCTGACCCGTTCCGTTCGGTGACGGCAGGTCCGCTGCTGGGTAACCCATCTGATCGTCAGCCAGCCCACGGACGACGACCGACGCGACGCTCTCTGCTGCCTTCTGAGGGCGGCAGAGACCTGCTGGAACCTGGCCAACTTCCACGGAGCCGCCCAGCTGATCGCCGGACTGCGGTAAGATCGTTACGAGAGCCGATTAAACGACGGTCGTTCTACGGAATTATTGTCACGGGGTGGCTAGATTCAGAGGCTACGAGTTCAACGAACTCTGTTTCGTGTCATCTGGAAAGGACAGATTTTTGTCTGGTTTGAACTAAACTAGCCAAACAACTCAGAATCTTCCGGAGGTCCGTCGCATTTCCTTTTTAGGTTTCCTGTCGTTTGTTTCTGCTCCTCATTCACTTTCATTTGTTCGCCGTCATTCCAGTGGTAGTAACAGGACGGGACACAAATGCGAACGCTGACAAAATGTGTGAACAACACGGACGAAAATGGGAACGAAGTGACCAAGCTGTTGATTCTGCGGTGCAGTCTTTCTCAGCGCAACATGCTAGCGCGACATACCTCGAGAGGCACTTAGTATTCGAATCACTGAAGGCCGAACATGACCGTCAATATTAAATAGTTAGCTGCTTAAATAACGAAATTATATCATCTGATCAGGCATTAGCTACACATGTAGATACATTCCAAGAGCACTGTTTATTCCGTGTTCGGCGAACGGTCGTGTCGGTAACATTTCTCGGTATATCCAACGGGCTAGATCCGGGGTGCCCATCATCAGCTTATAGCGCTCATGATAGCGGCGCCACAGCGCCAATTGTGTTATGCCGACAACGTCGTTAGCGCTGACTGGGAATGGCCGGGGATTGGGCTGGTGGATGGAAATGGCCGACGGGGCCCTGTCGGCCCGGAGACCGCGAGAGTGGCCCGCGGCCGGCCGGCCGGTAGAAGGAACGAGTGTGTTATATTCTTTGGTTGTAACCCGTCCATTTGGCCGTCTAGGAGGGATGAATGTGTTTGCTGGGGAACTCGAGGAGATGATGGTTTATTTGAACGCTCTGTAGACGGAGGTGGCATTATTTACATATCTATTTTGAACGGTCTTGAAGGAGATCGGATAAATCTGTTCACTGAGAGACTGTATGATTCTGAAAGATTATAGCCGTTTTCACGACGGGCTATCCGGCGAGTGCACCTGATTTGACCAAATCTGCACCTAATTTCTTTTACAGCAAATATCTTCATTTTATGAATTTATTTCAGTGTTTCAATCGATGACGCTCTCTGATAATATGACAAAGCAGGCATATAAGCAATTAATGCAGCTGATAGCTGCCAAGAGACACACTGAACCTGATTTGACCAAATCTGCACCTAATCTGTACCAGATGGCACCAAGTGTGTACCAGATGGCCGTCGTGAAAACGGCTAATGTAATTCATATTTCAATGAAGCTTTACGATCTAAGCGCTTTTAGTTCGAAGAAAGTCACTGCATGTTTTTCACTGCGAGATAAACTGTCGGCAATGGTCTAAGAATGCTAAAAGATTATCCAACCACTTTGTCCACAGCTCCGGGAAGCTGCGGCCGTTCTGGGCCTCCCTGGCTGAGAAGGAGGAGATTCCCGTGCTGGACTTTCTCTTCTCGGTGCTGGAGTACGACCTGACGGTGAAGGCGGACGGGGACATCAACCCGCACTACCTGGCCGCTCTGCAGAGGGCACTGGCCATCAAACACTGCAAGGTATGGCAGGCTGCGGATCGTGCTGTGGGAAATGCAAGAGGAAGGAGAATGGCGTGAGTCTCGTTATTCGGAGTAAAAGGTAGAATAACTAGTTCTCGTTGGGCTGTGCATTATGAATTATGTACATATCTCAAATTTACAGAGCCTAGCTTCAATATTTCATGCTTACTTTCAATACTTGTTGCTCCATCCACCGCCTGGCTCAAGTATGATGACGTTTTATAACACCCGTAATACGAGTTGAGTTAAGCTCAGCTAATTATATGAGTGAACTATTTTAGACGCAGCCTGTGATCTGACCGCAGCTACGTCGCAGGTCGTGCCGTTTTTCGGCGTAATCCTGCGGCGACTCCGGAACATTCTGAGCCAGTGTCCCAGTCTGAGCGTCGTCAGGGAAACGCCAGCCGAGGTAAGTTGTCAAACATGAGCTGATAAATCGCAAAAAGCCCAGCGGTTAGACCGATGGTATAGTGACTGCGAAAGTCTCGGCCTGAGGTAGCTCATGCATTTTGCTTCCCTCGCGTTGACATGATTCTTGTTTCGGTTGCTGTGAGCTGTGTTGTGGGTATTTTCACCAATTGAATATCGCCACACACTTTTTACTGTCAATTGAGCCGCACTGCCATCCCGGTGACATCGTCGGTCTCTGCCGCAGGACAAGACGGACCGCTCAAAGACGGACGGCGGCAACTTTTGCTCCTTTCTCGGTGTGGGCGGACTGATGAACATGGAGAAGCTGCGGCAGGTCCAGCTGGTTGTCGAAGAAATCCAGGCCTGTCAGTCTCACGCCGCAGAGCAGCACGGCCACCTGGCGCACAAACTCAACAACTTCGACTTCCCGTGAGTGGCCGCCAGGTGGCAGGGTCGGCGCCCAGCCGTCTACCAGTCACTCGCAGAAGGCAACCAGACCAATGTTTCTGTCGAATGTAAATGTTTATACACCGAATGGTTACAGCAACGGAGCTCGTTGGCTTTGCCGGTGGTTTGCATCTACACTGTGGTTGGCATTATGATATCACTAACATAGTGCGGTAGGGGAGAGTGGGGAAAGATGCCCAGGGTTTTACTATGTCATATATTATTCGAAAATGACGATCGGAAAGCAAAAACTTGTAGTTTCAACGGAAGCCGACAACATTTTTCTCCAAAAATACCACACTTTCGTGCTTGAAATATGATAACTTTTTTTGCTATTAAGCATTTTCCTGAAGAAGTGAAAGGGGGCATCTTACCCCACAGGGTGGGAAAGACGCCCCCTGGCGTTGGGTAAGATGCCCCCTGCACTATAAGTGACATAAATGGGCACGTGAATCGCCTGAACGAATTAGTAGTCCCTTCGGGCCTGCAGTAGACACCAAACGTCATCATAAGGACCCTCAAAAGTAGTCGTAAGGGGCTTCAGAGGTCATCGTTAGGGCCATCATAGTCCAGCGCGGCCAAACAAGCCTCCGTGGTGGCGTTCGGAGACCACTGTGGGGCCCTTATAGGTCTTCATGATGCTTGAGGGCCCTCGAGCCCATCGTGGGGACCTCAGATGCCAGCGCGGCCCGTGGAGCCAACGTGGGAGCCCTCAAAGGATGTCGTGAGGGGTCCTGGAGCCAATAATGTGGCCCACAGAGGCCGTCGTAAGGGCTCTCAGAGTCAGATGCCGCCCAAAAAGTCGCTGTGTGGGCCGAGAGACCGGCATGGGGAGCACCCGACCGTACTGGACTCTCAATAGTCCCAGATCGGCTTTTGTCTCTCATCACAGGTATGTAATAAATGATTTGACGGGCTGCTTGAAGGACAGCCTACGGATTTAGGGGGGCGTCTTTCCCCATCAGGACAGGGGGCATCTTACCCCAAGGTACCGAGGTAACATTAAATCAGTACAATTTGTTAGCCATAAAACTACACCCTGAAACAAACTGTTTGGGACACAGCACACGCATGTTAATTTATCACGACTATAGCAAGGGACGCAAAAATTATCTACTTTCTTTGATATCTACAATGTTTTGACACCAAAATATTTTTTGAAAGCAGCAAATAAAAAGCATGCAATCTCCAGCCAGCCGTTGCCCAACTGAGCCTCGCAAATTTTTGTGCAGTTAACAAGGCAGGCTTCCGCTTTACGCTAAGAACATTAATTTCCAGGTTCGATTCTTTGTTTCGCCGCTAGAGGGGGTGGGGCGTCTTTCCCACCCTGGGCATCTTACCCCACTCTCCCCTACTTCTTGGGTCGAGATAAAAAGCCCATCCTTAGTGTGTGATTAAATAATGCATTGCCGAAGTTTTTTATTATTATTGAACATCTATAATTAACATTTGCATGGCTATCAACGATACTTATTTGTGTTATGCTGGCAATTTCCATCAACCTTCAAAATACGCGCGAAAATGAATACGGAATTACACGACCGGACGGTAGGGGTCGAGGTCTATGCAACAAACTCTGCTTAGCGTGGGCTCCGTTGCTGTCAATCCGTCCATTCAAAATTTCAAACATTCGAGCCAAGTTTATTAAAAAAAAATACGATGGTCTTCTAATGTCATTCTGCATGTCACGTGATGAGCCTCACTGCGTCTCACTGACAGTGCTGCGCTGTTCCACAGGTCACGTGACTGGTCCGAGTGCACGCGGTGCGACGGCGTCTCTCAGGGAGGTTACGAGCCGGTACAGTCCCTGTACGGCGACCCGCGGGTGTCACTGGTACCGATCTGCTGCCACGTGGACGACCTGGACCTCAACACACTGCAGGTTAGGGGCCGATCTGCACCCACTGAACTATTTGCTTCGGTCGGATCTTGTGGGATTTGAAAGGGCTTGATCTGCGGGTATATAAACAATTTATTGCAACATGACATTATTGTGATATTTTTTAGTTATGTAATATGTATTGCTGCCTTAAGCCTAAATAATATTGAATGCTGCTTAAACATGCAAAAATTAGTCTCCTGGCCTTGTGAGTTCGATAAAAAGGGTTCAGCTCCTGTGCCTATGATGTCCTCTCCTCCTATAAATGGCTGTTGGAGCGATATTACAGGCACACTGTATGTCCCATCAATCGTAGAACGTTCGGTTTATTTTTTTTTTTTTTTTGTATGGAATAACTATGTATTCATTTATTGCATGCAGTTTACGCGAAAGACGCGGCCTTTTTCGGGAGTGATATACAATACGCATACAATTCCGTACTAAAAATGCACGCAAACAAATGCGTAGTGTGGCTTGGCCTGTACGCATTACGTGGTCACATGATGGCCTAGTGTGATGTTTTGCTCTGTCTACTGAGAACTGAGCATCACGCGCAGCATTTCGTAACCGGCGTGCGTGCACGTGCGAGCCGAGCACGAACTTTGACAGGGTGAAACCGTATTAAAATTATTCCTTCAATGCGTTTTCCGATTTGATGCGTCGGCATTCGAAATGACAAAGGGTCAAAAGGATAAAGGTATCTCATGATTAACCCTATTAGTGGCAGGGGGGGGTTGTTTTTATCCACCCCTCAGGTTTTTCGGGAATATCTCCGAAACCGCTGAAGCTACGATGCTGAAATTTTCTGACTTTTCCTAAAACTAAATTGGGCACATTCCCTGAAAATTTCAAGTTCATAACTTTACCAGGGGCGGCTCCAGAGCACTGGGAATTGGGGGTCCTATTCGTGAAGCGAGTCATTTGGGCGAAGATCACGATGCTGCACCAGTTTTACGAACAGTGAATGAAAGGTATCATGTGATAACATATACAAAGTTATTGTGCATCCTCTTTTGACACGTTTTTGCTATAATAGGCGGATCCAGGCGTCCAAAAAGGGGGGTTATTTTTTACCTCCCAACATAGGTGCCCTGACACCGCCTATGCATGACAAATACAATTTTAGTCGTTCTCTCATAAGAAAATTGTAACATAACAAGACCATTGCCACCCTTTTTAGAAACAGTACCAACAAAAACCTTATTTACTATACTTTTTGTGTACCCCCAATCTCAATGATCTGTATCCGCCTATGATTTTTGAAAATGCATATTTTTAGGATCCATGTGAATTCCTGGTTCATTCTCTATCGATCGGCAAAAGTTGCGTTAAGATTGGTTCAGAAACCTGGCCGTGATAAACAGTCTAAAATGTATCTGCAATTTGCCCGTTTTTACCCCCCTCTACCCCCCTATTGACATTTTTAATTTTTTTTTTAGAAATGTAGATCTCGTTGAGCCAAATCGAATGCCGTTTGAATTTTGAAAATCGGCCGGTTAGATCTCGAGATATCAAGGGGGGGGGTCGTAAACAGCCCCCCCCCCTGCCACTAATATGGGGTAGCCAGGAGCCTGCCACTAATAGGGTTAAAGAATAAAAATGTAACAGGAATAATAGATGATAGAAAAAATAAGCATCGAAAATAATAAAAGAGGCAAATAAAACGGCATTGAGCGTACAATGGCACCGAAGCGGCTTGCTGATTTATGCATGATGGTCGTTCGTAAAAATGAAAAAATGTAATAGAAATAATAGGTAATGAAAAAGGACAGAAAATAATAGAAAAGTGTCCGATAAAACGGGATTGGGCTTATAACGACACCGAAGCAGCTCGCTGCATCATGCATGTTGGTCGTTTGTTTCACTTGAAAAGACAAAATAACATAAAATGGAAGAACGCGGCAGTGGGGTTTTACTGAATAAGCACAAGCACTCCCAGTCTTGACATTAAGCCGCAAACGAGATCCACTCGGCCAACAAACTCGGATTATATTTTGCTGTCTGCACCGTACGCCGAAGCTTAGCCCATACTGGAAAACAGCCGTTACGCTGTGAGGTTTAGTCAGAAATAGTTGCGTCCAACGGGCTGAGGATGGTGCGTAGGTTATGTGTGGTAGAAAACTTACAAAGGCTCCGCTGAGCTGCTATGCATGTCTGGCATATATCCTAATGACAAATGAATTAGGCGTGCGGATTGGTGTGTAATTATGTTAGAAGTTAAGTGTGTTATTTTTATACACTACCTACCTGATATGGTTACCACAATACTTAGAAAACGTTGTAGGTCTAAATATCGGCTTCATACATATTTTGGCAGACGGAATTCTTTGCTATTTTTATGACTTTGCAAATTGCAGTATGCAATGTTTACGTGTTGTCGCCAACGCCATAACTGAGCGTGCACTTTGACGGCGTCATACTGCATAATCGATAAATTTAGCTTCATGGGCCGTGCGCTCGATCAAACACTGCATACCTTTGGCTAATATTAGAACCTACTGTGTATGCATCAATGCCAGACAATGAATATGGAGTCCGCCTGCACATGTAGCATAGTCTAAGGATGGTGCTATAAAGGGATGCACAAGCAGACAAACCTGTGAATAGCTTCCTTGCGCACGTGTCTGTCCCAGACCCGAGTTGAAATTCGTCGACAGTGCATTGCCCAACCTGTTTCGCAACTGGTTGACGTGCGCGCGCACGACTGCCGGCGGGGGACAGCCCGCCGCCCGTCGCAGTTTGGGTGGCACCCTCGTACGGGCTGGACGTGTGCCGGCCGCCCTCCCGAATCACCGTCGACCCGACCGTCGCCATGTGTAAGCGCGCCCGTCACCGGCGTCTGTCTGTGTACGTGCAGCTGCTGCAGCACGGTACCACGGTGATCCGCTGCGACGGAGAGCGGAGCAGCCTGTCCTTCCTGCGCCTGGAGCCGACCAACAGCCTGCTGACCTGGCGGCGACCGGGCTGGGGCTCGGCCGGTGACTGCCAGCTGGGGGTCAGCGCCGAGCAGTCGCTCAGCCCCGGCCTGCTGCTGCGCTACGGGGGCGCCGCCGCCGACCCGGCCGGCCTCTCCAGCGCCGCCGATGACGGCTTCGTCAGCCTGCTGGCCGTGAAGGAGGTGGGTGCGGCGCGAGACCTCGACTGGCCCCAGCTGGAGCGCCGTTTCGGTCTGGAGGCGCTCGGTCCAGACAGCTCGCTGCGGCTGGTGTTCGGCGCCAGTCTGAGCGACAACCGGACGGTGACGTTTGTGGCGCCGCCGGCGGTGGCGGCGGCCTGGCGCAGCTTGCTGCCGGCGCTGGTCAGCAGGCTGAACGGCCAGCGCAGCAGCGCCCAGCGCCAGCGGCTCTGGCTGAAGGAGCAGTACCTGCAGCTGTACTACGAGGACGGACGCTGCCGGGGACCCACCGCCGTCGAGGCGGCCAAGGTCAGTCGTGGGACACGAATACCATTTCCGATATATGCATCAAGGGATAGGGTGAGAGACGATAGCTCATTTTAATCGTTGAAAGGAGAATGCCATGGTTACCGAGTTGTTAAGAGCAAGTCTGTTTGGACGGTCAACTTGAAAGAGGTTGAGGATTTCACGTTCAGGCGACAGGCGGCTTCCGGTCCTAGTGCAATATTGTATTTATTTAACTCAAAGGTCAGTCGTGGGACTGACCTGTCAATAATGCTTTAATGACTGAGAGATACCATTCCAGGCTCTTGGTGGAGGAAGGAGCATGTTTTATCAGCTCCGCGACTATTCGCCCGTGGACCAGAGCTTTCTCAGAAACCCGACGGGAAAACTAAAAAAGAAGCGCTCGTCTTTGGTAAAGGTAAGTACTGACTTAACAAAACGCATTGGTTTGTTCATAAGGCTTTTAGTGTAGGGATGTAGATTCGCATAATACATGAGCAAAGCTGAGCAAGAGAGGCTTGAAAAAGGCACGACTACCTTATCCGGTTTTATCTGGTAGCATCATCTGGTGGGTCATATTTAGCGAGTCGTAGCCTATGGATCTCTCATAGAAATAATACGATGGGAAATTCAAAGCCAAAATAATTTACCAAACTATATAAGCCTTTTACAATGTGATGCTTTAATAAACCAGTAGAGCAGGCTAACGTCATGAACAAACAGACGTTGAAAAGGTCACGCAGGATTTTATGAAAACTGACCGCGTGCGTCATACAATTACGATCGCAAAATATTTAAATGCACCGCGTATGACGCACCGACTTACTTTATTGAGGCTTACTTTATTGAGGTCACGTGAAGTCTCCCGCTAAACTTGCTGTTTGTTAGACTGATACATACGGTCAACTGATCTCTTGAATATGTAAGTTCTCCCACTCATTTCAAACACCGTCTCGAACTCGGACAACTTTTCCCAAACATGCCAACAAACCCTGCCTATCAACATCACCTGATGTTGATCGCCCTCTCCGCTATGCAGATGCGTTTCATCAGCCGCCTCGCCCCCCTGCTGCAGGCCTGTGAGGCGAGCTCCGAGCCTCGCCGCAGTCCGTCGCCGCTCTCGTGCAGTCCGCTGGCCGGCCTGACGCCCAGTTCGTCCCAGTGCACGTCTCCGACGGCGGGCCGCAGTCGGCTGCTGGCGACCGGATCCTCACCGGCGCCGAGCCGATCCAGATCGTCAGAGGACGCCGGCCTGGCCGCCAGTGTGGAGAGCGTCATCAACGCCGGCAGCAGCCCCGTGCGCCGCCTGCTGCCGCCCTTCCTCAGGTCAGTGAGCTGTCATCGACTCATATCTCTTGTCCAATATTTTGGTCAATATGGTCCGCTTCTGCTGAATGGATAATTTATGACTTAGATATTTGGTCACCCTGCAAGCATGTCTCCGTTGTTGCTTATGTCAATTAGTGCCCATAATTGTTTTTACAGATGTAATCTGTCTTTGACCTAATCCTGTACTCTGCAAAGTGTACCGCGCGGGTAGGAAGATGAGCACGGCAATGATATGCTGCCTCACTGTCTAGATCTATAGTAGGGCCAGGATGGAGCCTAAAAAGGTTGACATCTGTCGCGACACTCGGTATAGCGTGAGCACATAGCTGTCACTTATACGTAGACGCGCTCAAAAATTCACAAACGGCTAATTTAAATCGTAAGCTTATGTAAAAATAAGCAAGGCAAATATTTCTCCCGTTGGATATGTTACATGGTGTCTTTAATTGCTGTAAAATATTTTAGATTAATTATCAATGTATGATTGGAAAAAATAAAATTATGCATTATTGCGTAACGTTTCCATTTTACTTTTGAAATACTCTTTGCCAGACGAGTTTTCTATGCTTTTATTCAGGCCGTTCGTTGCATAGCAAATACCGAACACGCTATTATTTACGCCCCAAGCAGCGGTAGTATACTATTTGGCCTTTTGGAGCTGCATAACCGTATCATAACGGATTATGCTATCAATTTGAGTTGTCCCATTTGACAAGCTTATCCCAGTGAACAGAACTGCTTGACTAGCTATTCCGTAACAAATCGACCATTCAGTTGACACTGGTTTATTTCCAATCTGCAGCCATGGCGGGGCACTTGCCGTAATTGTAATTGCCGATCGATAAAGTCAGCCTGGACTCGTAGCTATCACTTGGCTTCCGTGGTGCGTTGCCACGCCGTGGTACACTCGGTATTGACCGTGCCATTGATCGGGACCTATTCTCGAGACTCCAGCGTACACCGGTTTACGGTGGCAGGAGAGGCACCCTCTCCGCTCGGCCCTCTGACCCGCTCTCCGCCTGTGTCATCAGACAGCGGAGCCAGTCGGGCGCCCTGGACGGCCTGCTCGCCCGCCCGGAGTCCGAGGAGACACTCAGCTCGACTGACCAGCTGCTAATGGCGGACTTTGTCCAGCTGTACACCTCCTTCAGTCGGATCATGCGGAAGGACCTGTGGCACCTGTTTGAGCTGTACGCCACGCCCAAGAAGAGCCCGGCCAGGAAGATATCGACGAGCACGTCTGGTGAGACTCGGGGTAGAGAGGAGAAGTAAGAGTGGGCTAAGATTGAACCTGGAAACTGTTCAGTGTGGATTGTATTGCTCTCTCACGTGAGACCTACGTGGGATCGACCTTTGAAGACACTTGAAAAACTCCAGGCCATACAATAGTGCCAGGCAAGCCGATTCGCACTTGAATTATCTACTCTTGTTCAGTTGCCTTGCCAAATGTAAATAGGTGTTAATTATTGTTGATAGTCGCTGTGCTTATCAACTTCACTCCCCTTTACAGACGACGGCAGTCCGCCGGGCGGAGGCAGCGCCCCTGGCGGCCAGCGGAAGAAGCTGCTGGACGGTGTGTCGGCAGCTATGGTGGTCTGTAACGGCGTAGACGTGGACCGGGCCTCGTCCTGGGTCATCTCCATGGAAACGCTGGGGAAGGTGCTGCTCAGCCAGCAGGGAGAGACCGCCGACCGGGAGCACCTCGTCAGGATTATCATGGTGAGTCGGCTGCTGTAACAGCTGCGTCAGTGAGATGATTTAATTGACATTTAACGATCGGATGCTTGGTTGATTTCGGCAGAACATCGTACATAAATCATAACTAGGAATATAAATGTATGTCGGCACTCTTTTCATATTTCAAGCGTGAAACATTCCACCATAAATTGCGAAACGCTAAGGCTTTTAGCGGTACCTATTACAGTTTTCTACTCACTCCATAGATGGCGCTGGTAGTGAACGCCTGTATGTATACTGTGCCGCATAACTTTCCATCACTTCGCGGCGCCGCACTGAACTATTCTGCCACAGTGCGGTGACGGTTACTTATGTATGTCATTCTAAGGCTGACTGGTGCTCTCATTTCAAACTTGCAAGCGCATCGGAATAATCCGCATTATCCCAGTTGTGGGTGTGGAAAAAGAGACGTAGAAGGAACTAATGTTTACCGGATCGTCAAGTACCAAGGCTGTAGTAATACACTTCTGGTGGCGGAAATCCCAGCAGACCTGCGAGTCTGCGATAGGGAGAAGTTTGAAGTGTTCTTTTCAGTCGAAATGGAATTCTTATTTAGCGACATCGAGATGCGATTGTTGTATTCCCCACTCTCTCACAATTACACATGGATGTGTAGTTTCCAGGATTATGGATTAGTTCCCTTGGTCATTCCTTTCCAGTTTCCATACAGAATTTAAGCATCCTATGCATGTACGTTTGTAACGAGCACGTCTCGCTTTCTGCCTGCAGCGCTATGAGAAGGACCCGAGCCTGCGGGACACGTTGTGTCTGAGTTTCGCCGGCTTCTGCTCGTACCTGCTGGACGAGGCAAACTTTGCGACCTCGGGTGGCGAGCCGACGCCTGCCGAGGACTTCAACTACCCGCTGTCCTACTACTACATGGCCTCGTCGCACAACACCTACCTGACCGGTCACCAGCTCAAGGGCGAGTCGTCCGTCGATCTCTACTCGCAGGTGGGTGATGGCGAATGGCTGAGACTCGTGCACTAGTCAGAGAAAATTGGATATGTACAGCAGTCATAGCAGTGATAACAAATTGTCGCCAGTAGAAGTATCGGCTGGAAGGTACTCTTGCACAGGCTGCTGATGTAAGAAGCTAAGTCCTGTGGCGGGGACATGTAACTACTAACTGTCATCTGTCTTGCGGCTGTTCCCTGTTCTAACCTCTAGTGGTGTGCACTGGCCTGATCTGACCTGTAACCTGACCTCCCTCCCCGGCAGGTACTACTGACGGGCTGTCGGTGCGTCGAGCTAGACTGCTGGGACGGCGATGACGGCGCCCCGGTCATCTACCACGGCCACACGTTTACATCCAAGATCGGCTTCCGTGCCGTGGTCGAGGCCATCGGCCAGTCGGCGTTCGTTACCAGCCCGTTCCCCGTGCTGCTCTCCATCGAAAACCACTGCTCGCTCCAGCAACAGGCCAAGATGGCGCAGATCTTCCAGGTAGGACGAGCACGCGCGACGCACAGAGATACCGGTTTGAACCCGTACAGTCCGGTTAGGGTTAGAGGTTTACGAAATCGAAGATAGTTGACAGGCATGTGGCTGACTTGACTGGTCAATCCATTATCAGATTTGACAGCTTGGCTGCTTGTTGGCCAGCTGTCACTCGTAACGTGATTTTGTAGCGATAACTTTGATACATGAGGATTTACTCTGTAGGAGTATATTGACTTATTCAAGTATGTACGAGCGTACTCAGTCTGTCGTACTGTCTCAGGATGTCTGGCAGACAGGCTAGCTGGCTGGTTAGTCGAATTCAGACCATGTCATTAACCCCCATTTCTCCGCTCTCCCCAGTCGGTTCTCGGCGACAAGCTGGTGATGCGACCAGTCTGTGAGGCCGATCTCAGCGACAACCCACGGCTCCCCTCACCCAACCAGCTCAAGTTCCGTGTGCTCATCAAAAACAAGAAGCTGTGCACGGACGTGCCGCCTCTGCTGCGGCGTGTCAACCAGAGAACCAACTCGGTCGTGTCGTCGAACGCGTCGTCGGCCAGTCTCAACCTGGAGAGCGACGATGACGACGATGACGATGATGATGAGCTCTTGTGTGGTGAGTGGAATGAGCGGACCTCTGGAGAACTGTGGGTACGTTTTGCGGCTGTATTCGGTTTTCTGCGTTTCTTGGATCTCCTTTGTTCATGACCTGAACGTCTAAGACCTTTTCATGCCGGGAACTACTCCCGAATTTCTTATTTAACTTTGAATGTTATCTGTGCTATTTTTTTCTTTTCTTTTCTTTTTTACTTTTTAAACCTGACTTGCTCATTTTACCGCCATACCCCAGCTACTAACCGATCGAACCTGACTCCTCTGACCTAATCGCTGTGACCTGACCGCTCTGACCTGAGTCTCACGGCTGTTTCAGACCGCGAAACCTCCCTGCTGGGTCATCTCAGCGATGTGGCCGTTGGTGAAGAGGAGAACGGCAGGCCTCCACAGACCCGGCACAGGTCAGCTGCTGTAATAGTGTGTCCTGCTACAAGTAAAATCTAGCATCCCTGATGATAAATCTGGCTATTTTTGAAGTAAATTAGAAAAACGATTTAAGTGCTTCGCCGTGCGTATCAATTTTCTTTCGATTTTATCAGTTTAGCTTCGCTTCACAAGCATTACGTGCATGAATGCTTGCTAAATTTTACCAAAATATGTAGATTGTAAATGAGCTGCACTTCACATCAATTTGCGTTTGCCGCTACTTCGTTGGGTTTACGTCATTTTAAGACGAACTCTGTGATACGGTATCACGTTTTTCAATCCCACTAACAATATGTTGTGTGTTCGCCAGGTCGACCTCCGATCTGGACGGAGTCGACGACGGCGGTGTGAAGAAGAAGCACAGCTCCCAGATCTCCAAGGAGCTCTCCGACCTGGTGGTCTACACGCAGGCCATCAAGTTCCACGGCTTCATCTCGCTCAGCCCCATGTGCGTCAAGCCTAAACCCTCTCAGCGGCGTCGGATTGCTCTGCAGAGCTCGGCCAGTATCCCGTCCTCCGGGGGCGGGACGGCCCACCCGCGACCCGACAGCGCCTCCTCCACCGGCTCCGGCGTCCGCAAACCGGTCATCGTCCACCCCTGCTATCAGATCTCCAGCATCAACGAGACATCAGCCAAGAAGCTGTGCAGGAAACAGCCTCTCGCCTGCCTGGTGCACACCGAGGTACAAATCATGCGCACCTACCCAGCGGCAATGAGGATCGATTCGTCCAACTTCAACCCGGTGCTGTTTTGGGCGTGTGGCATCCAGTCAGTGGCGCTCAACTATCAGACCGTAGACTCGGCCCTTCATGTGAATCGGGCCATGTTTTCTCAGACGGGGGACTGTGGGTATGTCCTAAAGCCGCGTGTGATGTGGGATCCGACTCACGTGCTCTACCGCAGGTTCAACCCGTGGGAGAAGAAGTTTGACGGTCTGCATGTGACCTACCTGACTGTGACCATCATCTCTGGCCAGTATGTGTGTCAGGGAAGCTTCTCAGCCAGCCCGCAGGTTGAGGTCGAGATTGTCGGAGTTCCCGCCGACAGTGTCAAGTACAAGACCAAGGCCGCTCCTCACAACAGCCTGAACCCGATCTGGGACGAGACGCTCGTGTTTCGTGTCTGGTTCCGCGAGCTCGCCTTCCTGCGTCTGACGGTGACCGACGCTGGCACGGGCCACCAGTCGGCGCAGAGAACGGTGCCGCTCAGCCAACTGCGGCCCGGCTACCGCCACGTGCGTCTTCACGACGCGCAGGACCGACCGCTGGCCGTCTCGACTCTCTTCATCTACTCACGGATGGACGAGGAGGGCTCTGAGCCAGCTGAGGTACCGTGCCGAACCGCTGACGGTGGGCCCTCCGGAGGAGCCGAGGACGAGCTCGACTCGACGGCGCCCTGTCAGCGACCCGGAGGCAGGAGGAAGACGTTCTTCCTGATGGTCCACGAGGTGACGCCTGAAGAGCCGTACACAATCGTCCGTGTCACTCAAGATCACACGACTCGTGATGTCATAGCGCAGGCGCTCACCAAGGCGGGAAGGGCGGAGGACAGCGTGGACGACTACGTCCTGATCGAGTCTGTTGCCACGGACTGGTCGCGCTGCGCCTCCAAGACCACCCTGCAGCGAGTGCTAGCCGCTGATGAGTCCCCTCTCCGGGCGCAGGCCGCCTGGAAGGGCGAGGGCATGCTGCTTCTGAAGAAGATCGGTGACGACCCGAGCTGTCGCGCCTGGGTTTCGACGATCCAGTCCAGCGGCCGGAGAGACACGCTCGACTCCGCCGACAGCTTCCTGGTGTGTGTCTGTGACGTGGGTCCGAGCATCCCGTACGCGATCCTGAAGGCCCCTCGCGCCAGCACTGCGCAGGAGCTGATCGCGCAGGCTCTGGTGAAGGCTCGCCGTCTCGAGCCTCCCGGACGGTTTGTGCTCGTCGAAGAGCTCGAGTTCGGCCGGATGGCATCGGACGCGTCTGGCGCGCGGCGAAAACCGACGCGGACCGAGCGCCGCCGCCTGGCCGACGATGAGTGTGTGTACGATGCGCAGCGCGCCTGGCCCACCATGGGCCGTCTGTACCTGCGCGAACGTCAGTCGCACCTGGAGGATGGCGGCTCGCGCTGGAGGGGTGCGGCCGAGTCGGCCGCCTGGAGGCTGCGACTCCCTAACCTGGTCGGCTGCTCCATCGATAACCGGAGGCACTCCACGGCTACCACCGCCGGCTCCGGAGGTGGCAGTGAGCAGAACGACTTCGGTCCTGTCTCCAGACTACGGAGACTTTCGCGAAAGCTCTCCAAGAAGAATTAACTGTGATGGCTGCTACGGCACAAGCAAGGATCTCTGATGCTCTAGTCCACTGTTTGGCGTGCGCTCGACAAGCGCCATGGTTCAGTATTGTTTGGCGGCAGCTTTTGTCGACATTTGGCAGTGTTGTGTGTTTGTGGGAGAGTGTTTGTCGGTGAGCGGAGCCCGTGTGGAGGCTCCGGGCCACACCGGCCTGTTTTTGCGCTCCATTCCATATCTGTGTTGTGATGGCGACGCTATAGTTTTCTATAAACTGTTGACAATCGCTGGCGGCCCACCGTCGTGACATGGCCCGTATTTTAAACATGCTGGTGCTACTTTTGTACCACCCGGTTGTTATACTGTGTCGGGGCGGGCACTCGGCGGGCGCTGCTGGGAGACGGCGCCGGGCTGTTGTCTTTACTCCGCGACCATGTGCCTGCGAGTTTTAACGTCCCGGCGACGAGGCGGCTGGCCCGCGTCATAACGCCACCGGCCGAGTATACGCACAACTCGCAATTCTTTAACAGAATATACATTTTACGTCACCGATGGTGCATTACGTGGGCTGGGATATTCACGCTACGCTGAGCGCCGGCATCATGGAATCTCAAGTCGCAACTAGAGGTGGCAAAAGATAAAAATTTTGGGAACCAGACTCGAACCAGACCCGGCTGGACATTTCTGGAACCAGTCGGACCCGGTCTTAGTTTGAATCGGAACCAGTTGGACCCGGTCCCAAAAAGTCAATTAATACAAACTTCTTATAGACATCATTAGTTGCATCATGTATAACAGCCTATTTCCCACTGGGAATACTCTTGAGCTACTGTGTGCAAAGAAACATTCACTTCATTCACTTCATATTTTGCAATAATGTGTAGTGTGCAAGATGTATAGTTTATGGTAGGACCCGGTTGGACCCGTCATAAAATTTCCAGGAACCGGTCTGGACCCATATGGCTCCAGACTGGTTCTTTGGACCGGGTCCTCGGGTCCACATTTTGCCACCTCTAGTCGCAACCTAGCGAAGACAGGGAAAAACGAAAGACATGGTTTGCTGACAGTCACAGTCACTTTCTGCAACGACAGAAGCTCTAATACCTTGATCCATGGCAGTTCGGCTTCATTCGTCTCAATCGAACAGGCTATCCTAGCCTGGAAGACTCACACTGTTCTGCACATACCTACATGAACGAACACTGAACGTCAATCGCACGTGACACGATTGTTGGCGCTTCACTGTAGCCGCCGAAACACACCCGTCAGATCTCAGTAGCAAATGTATTCCTCATATAAATTTGTACATAACATCCGATTGCATCACACAATTGGCTAGCGAGTAGCCAGAACCGGCCTGCGGCAGGGACTGATGAGACGACTCGACCCACCGACGACTAGCTGCCGGGGACTGAGCGCGCACCCCCGCCGACACCCCCTCCCCATCCCTCCCCTCCCCGCCCCACGTTCACAGGAAGGCACGGCACAGGAAGCACCTGTTTCGCTCGCAGCGCCGGGCCGCGGCGCGAGCAGCCTCGGCCGCGACAGGAGCGCCCCCTGCGCGCGGAATAACGACCAGATCTCAGTGCGCGGACCGACGACAGCGCCACCTGCAGCGCCTGACTAGTGCCGTCACCGCCACCCGTCTATTGGCAGAGTGAAACACAACTCCAGGTGGCACGGACACTCGAGCAGCGTCCGTCGCTTGTACGCGGCGCCCCAGCCCTTGGCGAAGCTGACCACTGCCGTGCGCGGGTCGCGCAGTTCGTGGTGGGCGTCACCGGACCGCCGGCGGGCCTGGTACTCTGTCCAGGAGAACACGAGCACGGAGTAGCCGGGCGGCAGTTTGTGGACGGCCTCCGAGGCTGGCGATCCCTCCGGCGGGTCCAGGGTGGGGCTGGAGACGAACAGCGGCTTCTGACTGCGGTTGTACAGCCAGACACCGGATGGCTCCAGACTCAGGCTCAGACCTGTCAACAGAGCGGGCACACGTGGTCAGATTCGCTGGGTGCATGGTGACAGGGGCACGAGGTCAGATTGGCACGTGGGCTGTGGCCGTACCGCCACTCAACGCAGATAGCATCTCGCCCAACACTGCCGTAGTAAATCTGTCTCATCGAGCTGTCTGAGAGCAGATTACGCCGATACCAATACGACTCCACTTAAAATGTGATATATACGATGCCAATTTAGTGGCGTCCCGTCCAATTCATCAACATCGATTTAGCAAACAGTTCAGCGGCTGAGTCGAAGTTCCTATCAGAAGCCACGCCGGGGAATGCGAGCAATTCGAGTCAGTACCATCCAAACCATAACTGAACGTCCATCTGCCAGCAGTTAGCGTGGGCGGGCGTCGCGCGGTGGACGGAGGCACGCGACTCAGTGGCGAACATAAACTGAGCAGCGTGGCCGGGCGGCCTAGGAATGCGCCCGGGGGTGGGTCACTCCCCTCCGTCCCCGTTCCACCCCCGACTCTCCCCTGGAGACAGTCATGTCCGGACTGCGGTCAGAGTGCGTGACTGCACCCTGACTCAGCGCGGCCCCGCGCGCACAGGGTGGGTTCCAGCCCGCGGCACCGTCCGCTCAACTGGGGTCCGACCCCCGACGAACGCGCCCCGGTCCACTGGTCAATATAGGGGGCTGGCTCCGCCCTGGGGGCTGACTCAGCGTCGCCACTGATCCGGTGACCGTCACCGCCAGGTAACAAGGCATTTCCGTGAACAGCCACCCTGCGTACCGCGAAACAGGACCATTGCTTCCGACACTCTAACATCAAACAGCGACTGCTCGCCTCATACCGGCCTAGACCAAGCAGCATCCTATCGGCGTTTCCCTGCATCTACGATCCAGTGCGCTCTATACAAAGCCAGGATATCCCTCCAAATCGAACTTCCCCATCTAACCAGTCCAACGCGTTCCCAGTCCCAGTGGCAGTCCCTAACTACCTAGTCCAACGCGTTCAACTCCCATTTCCTACTCCTCCTCCACCCACCCCATACCTCCGAACCTCCACTCCTCATACCTGCACCGATCTGCGGTCGAGTCTTGCGCACGTCCGGCTCCGGGTTGGGGTGTTGGCCACAGACGTCCGACAGTGCCACGCCATCCTCGTGAGGCAGGTTGTAGAACACATTCTGGACGGGACCGCGGGCGTGCCAATCGGGACCGACGCGTCGCTTTCGTTCCCGGTAGAGCAGCCGACACCAGGTGCGCTGGGAGTCTGTGGGAAAAGAGCGCGGTCAGGTCAGATTCAGATAACAGGCGAGAAGTCAGAGTTGGGGGACTGAGGTGAGTTCAGAGGGTTGGAAAGACAAAGAGACAGAGACAGACGGGACGAGCTGATAACACTGACAGAATGACAGACAAACAGACAGGCAGACAAACAGACTGACAGGGAGACAGACAGAGAGACTGACCAACAGACAGACCGACTGACCGACCGGCAGACAGACAGACCGACCGACAGACAGACAGACCAGGCTGACAGGCTGACGAACAGACAGACCGACTGATCGACCAACCGAACGACAGACCGACAGACAAATGGTAATTAAGTCAAGCAGTCGATGGTCGGTCAGATCATGAAAATCAAATGCAAAACCAGGCAGCATACGACAGTGAGGCCACGAAATATTCATGAAAACCTCGTAGCAGGAGCCTGTCTGAGCTACGTTGTAGTCTCAGTCCCGTGCAAAGCAAAGGGGCCCTCGAGGGCCACGGTATACTTCTATTGTAAATATTGACATACTCCAGCCTCTGGTCAGGCGTTGTGGTATACACCCAGACAGAATAAAAACCGTCTGTGTATTTCGTGATTCACCGCGCTCCGACAGCCATGGATGGAAAACGTCGTGCATTGCCCTGATGTCCGATATGTAAAATGAATAATTCCGGTATGAACCGACTTATGTATACAAGGGCCACACCGTACTGGGTTCGTCTATGAGCGGTCAGCCCGTGTGACGCGACTCAGACATTTCCTGCGCACTCTATGTAGTCGGCTCCCTCGCCGCTCTGCAGAAGTAATCTGGCTCGCACGTCCAATCAGCACCACACAGCAGCCTCCGACGCCAGTAAATCCCGCTGTGTTCCGCCCAGCGGAGCGTTCGCTGCTGTCAGCGACCCGGGGCCGACATTCTCTGCCGCCACCCCGCCCACCCCGCCCACCCCGCCTGTCCGGCGCCCGGCCGGGACAATGTGTTCGTCTGCGGCGGCCTGCTCTGCGCTCCCCGTTCCCCAGCGTCTCTGGAGCGGCCGCAGACGCGGCGGGCGTCTCCCAGTCGGCCAGCCGGCCGGCGCCCTCCTGTCGGCTGTCACATCCCGACCTATCGGAGCCATCGCGGTCGTATCGGCCGGCCGGTCGGCGCCGGGGCCGGGACGGGTCGGCCGCCCGACGGAGACGAACAGCGGAGAGCGGCGGCGCCGGCGGGACGCCGAGCCCACCCTGTGTCGGCGTCGACGCGACGCGGTGGCGGCGGCGCTGCCAAGCGGCCGGCGCCACGGCGTCACCCAACGTCAGTGGCGCCGTCGGGACCGGCAGCCAGCGGCCGGCGGCTCCGCCGGCCGCCGACACCGACGAGCGGCCGCCGAGACGCAGATGACCCCGGCGCCGACACAGCGCGCCCCGACCGCCTTTGTATCTCAGGCTACAGCGCAGGAAAACAGGGACAGATACGGCCCGGCCGGCGATGTGGGGTCAGGTAGGCCACGACGGGGTAGATAGACGCCACTGCGTTGAAACTCACCTGGTAGGTATTTACCGAGGCCAGGTTCCCAATCTCTTGCGAAAAAGAGATGAAGAATGCAGTGCATTTGGATTAGGTAGGCATAACTCTCAAAAAGGAGTGCACGATCTGGATCGTGTGATAACATTCGTTTTGGTTAGCATTCCTCGCGTGCAGCTTCAATTCGTGACAGACTGCGACATTTGATACAATTGTTTCGCATTATTCGGAATGCAAGCACGTTCCAAAAGTGACGATGATAGAGCTTCATAAAAGCAAGAATAGAAATAAGTTGCTCATAACTTTTGTTATTCGTATCAATGATGCAGATCAAGACAGCACTCTGTAACAAACGCGAATGCATTTTATCTCGCATACTTACCGCTAGATGTCGCTAGCACCGAACGCCTGCAGGTATGCTGTGCCGCAACACTTCGTGCTAAAGGCCGTGCCGCTGGACGGCGAAAAAGGAACTCGTTTAGCTTCGGCACACGTCAAATTGTTCCCCAGATGACCAGAAGAACACACTTATCTGTCCCTGGCCATGCTTGTTCATTCTGTCGCTCATATCTCAAATATACGCAGAATCCAATAGTTCCGCTCCCGACCGAAGTCTGCCTGCCGCGGTGGTGCAGCGCTCCAGGCCCCGGCCGGTACACGGGCGGCGCGGGTCCGTGTTATTACACAGTGTTACCAGTGGCGTGTCGGCGGCGCTCGGTGGCGCCACCCCGTCGCCGTCCGGTCGCGCCCGGCGCAGTGTTTAGCCCTCGTCTGGCGTGTTAAGTGCACATTCCAACCGGTCTGCCGGCGCTCGGTCGGTCGGTCG